CCCCGGGCTTTTCTGGTTCCCGAGTTAGACATTTCCGCACCAAAGTTTCACGAGGCCGTTCGTGAAAACCACTCGCACTTAGGGGCTGAATTTGATAACTTAAAGTTGTACTTGTGCTGGGGACATTCTCTGAAAATTCCAGCCTCCCATATTTCTTGGTTCCTGAGTTAGTCATTTTCGCGCCAAAGAAATTCACGGGGTCGTACGTGATAACCACGGATACCTGGGGGCTGATTTCGTTGAATTTAATTTGCACACGTGCTGGGAACATTCCCTGAAAATTTCAGCCTCCCAGCTTTCCTGGTTCCTGAGTTAGCCATTTTCGCGTCAAAAATTTTCACGGGGGCCGTACGTGAGTACCACACAAAATAAGGGGCTGAATTTGGTAATTTTAAGTTGAATATGTCCCGGGAACATTCCCTGCAAATTTCAGCTCTCCAGCTTTCCTGGTTTCCGAGTTAGTGATTTTCGCGCCAGGAAGCCTCACGGGGCCATACGCGAGAACCACGCATGCCCGGGGGCTGAATTTGAAATCTTTGAGCTCTATGGAGACGGGGGACATAACTTCAAATTTCAGTTTTCTAGCTTTTCTAGTTCCCGAGTTAGCGATTTTCCCGCCGAAACTTTCGCCCCTTCGTACGCGGGGCCCAGATTTGCGTTGAAGGCCGGTACCGCGGACCTGGGGTGGCACTTGGCTGGGAAACCCACCGGCAAAATTTTGGCGCCGGAGCTTACTTGGGTGCCGAGTTGAAATATCCGGACAGACGCACACACACGCACACACACACACACACACACATACATACATACACACACACACACAGGAGTCGTCACAATATGCGTTTTTGCAAAAACGCATAAAAGGCGGAGAAAGAATGAACAAGGAGTTTTTGAAGAGAGAAGTAAGAATTTCATCCACCCGCAGCGGATTTCTGCTCTTAAAAGACTAAGGCCTCCTGACAAGGAACAGTTTTATCTGCCGGAGCATTAGTTAGGGTGAAAGATACGCTGAGGGTTGTGAAGTAGCCAGAATTCTTTTGAGAGCGGGAGGTCTTCAAAAATAAATGAAGAAGGGGTTTACCAGAATTTCGGCAGGTGCCTCATCGAAAGTGATCATCTTTGTCATTATTTGTTTGCACTTTTACGAGAAAATTTAATGAAAATTATCGTCATTTCTTTCAAAATATTGCCGGCTTCAAGTGAAAACTTTGCGCAAAAATGACAAAACGTCTCTGGCTACACTACTGACAGTAATCTCTCTTCCAGGGCGTACAAAACAATAGTTAAAGTTCTGCAGGACGAGTTTTAGCTGCTAAAATCCAAAGCTGTTAA